CTCTCTCTCTCTCTCTCTCTCTCTCTCTCTCTCTCTCTCTCTCTCTCTCTCTCTCTCTCTCTCTCTCTCTCTCTCTCTCTCTCTCTCTTTTTCCCACTTTTTCGCTCTCTCTCCGACTATTTATTCCCTCACTAGCACTACTGAGGTCATCTTGAAACTCGGCGATTGCCCCTGATGATGACTAGTAATCGGCGCTGGTCGAAACATGTCGGGCGCTGCTGATATCTGCTTCTCTTTGGCCGTTCCGGCTATTTGTTAACGCTCTTTGCTTTATATATGGCTCATCGGCCACATGAGGTGTTTTTGAGCTTCATGATTAATATTATTCGATCGCTCGGGCTTCAAGTGACTTCGGTGTCGTGCTTATCAGCTTTTTTCCCCTATCTCCTCCCTCTTTGGTCTTCTCTCTTTTCCTTTTCTTTTCTCCTCTATTTTCTCTTTTCTCTTTTCTCCTCTCCTCTCCTTCCCTCACTGTTCCTCTCGTCCCCGTGTATGCATTGTACTCGTTCAAATGGAATGGCTTAAGGTAATTCTGTGGTTGTTGGATTGTCTCATTTTTTGGATGCGTGTCTTCCGAATCTTCGCTGAAATTTCATATGGCACTCTCAGATATGCCATTGCGAAATGTAAGAGAGAAGATTCCAGCAGAGGCAGACAACATTGTCGTGATTATTCCTACCCTTATTAATTAATTAATCTAATTACGCATAATCCTCATCCTTGCCCTATTTTCGAGCAGTAGCAGCTATTGTTGCTATGATCTAATCTCGTATTCGTATCACGCCTGGAGGGGGGGGGCGGGGGGGGGGGAAGCGCGACCACGTGCCTGACTGAATTGCAGTTACAAATTCCGCGGTGCCACTTTTCTGCAAAGCGGAGTTTTGACTGCATTGTAACCTTCGGACCGGACTGGACTGCGAAACGACAGTTTGAAATGCATTTACAAACTCAAACCATGACCGCACCCTAGTTTTCTTTTTTTTTGTTTCAAACATATGAGCGAGCCTATTCGAGGAGGCGGTAAGAGCCACGAATAGGACTCCTAGGAGAAGATGGCTCCAATCTATTTGTGGGCAGGTTCACCTGCTTCAAACCGGGTCCAGCGTCCCAATTACAACTCAGGAGCCTGTATTTGATTCTTTGATGACTCAGTTTCAGCCTGCAGAGACGCTCATCACTTCATGACGAGAATCA